GGAGTCTAACCGGGCTCTGAGATCAATTTCTTCCCTGACGGGATGCCTTCTGAAGTCCTTGAGTTCATCGGTAAGCCCCTCATTTCCTGGGCGTCGTGTGGATTGGGTTGAGTCCTCCTCGGATTCATCTCCCTTCCTCCGTCTAGACAAACCTCGCCGGAGGTCGTCCAGGGCCAATGGCCTTGCTTTCCTTGAATGGTTGTCATGATGATGCTCGCCGGCTCTGGGTCGCTTTGGGGCCCTAGAGCTTTCTGCTTTGTTGTTTAGGTGGTTTCTTAGATCCTTCGTTTCCGCCTCCCGGGCGGGAAGCCCACGAGAAAGGAATGAATCCCTCGATCCTTCGCCAGAGGCGGCAAACTCGTTGAGCCGGCTTAGGACGTTTACATTGTCCTTTTCCAGCTGACGTAATCTATCGCCAAACTTTTCTTCAATCACCTCCGCCAGCTGACGAGCCAAGGGGGCTGATCCCCCTGACCTGATTCCCATACTGGTTTGAGGGGTAACCCCTCTTGACCGAGTAGAGGCACTTTTATTCGTATTGGTGTGATCCCTCCCTCCGTGATGACAGGGAGCTTGTAACTCGAGACTCCTTTGGTGGGGTCCTTTCCCTTTCTGTCGAGTGTTCACCATGGTCACTGTTCTTTATAGAGAAAAAACTAGGAAAACTAGTCGTTTCCCACAGACGGCGCCAGATTGTGCGTGCAAGATCCTGCACAATATAAAAAACGAGAACAGATCTCTCCCTTGGTGAACTCGAGTGAGCCAGTTGAGTGACCAACCACGCTGCTTGGAACAGCCTGCGAGGTCCGGTGGTAACCTGGAACGGCAACGGGAGACCCTGGGGGAGCGGAAGAACGATCCAGTAAGGCTGAAAGAGGTTCCTGGAACAAAGAAGAACAAGTTAGAAGGGCGCCGGAGTGTTTTCCGGCGTATCCCCTCCGACGATCTTGTCAGTCTTTTAGAAAGAGAGAGGAAAGAGAAAACACTGAGTGTGTATTGTAGTAAAGAGTTTTTTGTTGCATACCCGTCTTGCCTTTTGCAAGGAGTATTTATACCTCAAAAGCTCATGATTGCTGTCAGTGTAGTCAGTAGGTGATCATTAGGTACAGGCAGTGTGCGCACTGATTCTGATGAGGAATGTCTTCTCTTCTTAACTGCTCGGGGTCCCGAGCAATCAATGTTGGGTCATCGGGATGCCGACGGTACAATGTACTCCTCTCGGGGAGGATGCAATAAATGCTCTGTATTAGGAACATTTATTGTCTTTCATTTCCGAGCCTTACCGCATTGAATGCGGTCTCATCAAGGGAATGGTGTAATTAATAGTTTGCTTTCCCAAGTCGCGTGTCAGCAACGGCATGCGATTTCTCTGTCTTCGATGTGATATCATATGCCACGCGTCCATCCCTCATTGGCTATGGCCCCTGCATTCCAGTACGTTCTGACACTAATTGTGTAAGACGAGGTCATGATGAATAGCCTAGGCTAATGACCTGTACGTCAATAGCTTGTCCTGGAGTAGAGGAGGCGTCTAGGACGAGTACACCTCGGCACCGGGGAGAGGCTCATCTCGGAACCGAGGGAGGGATACCGACCGAGGTACCATATCAGACCGAGGCCACGTGTCGGTTGTAAAACATACTGAATGCATGATCCTATATGACGAGTACCTCGGGGGCGAGGACCTTTGTGTGCCGATGGTGCTTGATCTTAGCAACAGTGTTTTGATAATATCGAGGACACGTGTCTTCATCATGGAGCATTTCAGAAAAGTCCCATCAGATAGGTACAAACTTTGAAGTTGGATAATCTTTCTTTCTTTTTTTTTTTCTGATCAGATCTTTGAACAATCAATTGTATAAATTAACACCACCACCATAACCATAACCATAACCAAGGAAAATGAAAGAGATTGAGTGAGAAAGATGACTTAAATCGATTGAGTGAAAAAAATTGAGTGGAGAAGGTCCCGATCTAAAAAAAATCAAGATCCAATAGAGGGCTGCATCGCCATGCCTAGAGTTCTTCATCGCCTAGAGGACTGAAGATGATGTTGAAATGGAATTAATTTAGGGCAAAATGGCCCAAAAAGAAGAATTTTTTTTTAATATAACGAGTGGAACTTAAATCGTCCAGTTTTAAAAAATTGACCGATTCACGGTTTTGGCTAAAACCCGGCCAATTTAGTGATTTTGAGCCGGTTCTATTCTTTAAGCAATCTAATTAGAGAATCAGACTGATTAAAGTCTCAGGTCACAGTTGAACCGGTCCGGTCCAGTTCTGATAACACTGTTATAAATAGAATATGGTTATTTTATATATTTTTTATTTTTTTAAATAGTATTATATGAATTGTTACAAAATTAAATAATTTTTTGTTGATAAAAACACGATATATATCGAAAATAACATGACACGACATGACAAGATTGAAACCCCCTTATCAGTTGGTGTTGTATTGTATCATTTTCATATTATTTTATCTTTAGTCGTGTTATTTTTATGTTGTATAATTTATGCTTCGTATGATATTCGTGCCAATATTTTTAGTTGTCATTATTAAGTCCTCATTCAGTACTTTTGGATATTGTATAAAAAAAATTTAAAAAAATAATAAACTTTACCCCAAAAAAAAACTACTTAAAAAGTGACAAGTGAATTCAAGAAGTGAACATATTCTAAAAATTAGTAAACTCCATCCAAAAGATTATATAAATACCCAAAACAGTGTGACACTATCACAAGGAGAAACAAATGCCAATGGAACTGGAATTGGAACTGGAGCTGGAGCTGGCTTGGATTTGGGCAATAGTGCAAGAAAAGGAATGATAGACATTTTGAAAGATGCAAACCATATGTCCCAAACCAGATAGGAAACAAATGCACTTTCAAATAATTGGTGATCAACCCACGAGAGTAGCAGATGATACAAGGATGGACTTGGGAGTAACCATAAACTCAGATATTTTAAGTTCGATTGTCGTTGGTGACTCTCGAGCTTAACTCATTCTTGTGATTTTCGGGTGATTACAGATATCCGAGATTTATTCAACAGAAGTGAGTGTGACTATCAAATACATTCCTCGTTAATCAAAAAAAATTAAAAAATATAATGGTGGTCCATTTAACTAAAGCTATTTTCATCATATGATTAGCCTTATCAAATAAGATATAGAGTGGGTCGAGCATTCGCATTAGTCTGCCACAACCAGAAAAAGAAAAGCCTCTAAGAAATCCTAGCAAGACCACAAAAAACCAAACTTTCAAGGATAGAGAGGGACACTGTCTTGTTATCCCGTTTTCCAAATCCAGCATTTTTGCCCATTTCATTTGATTACTCAACTTGTGTTGTAATATTAATATTGTTTGAAGGTAAAATTACATATGGAAAAGTATGTTAAACTCGGGAAAAACCTTCTCCAAGTTATTCAAATTGGGTTAAATGTGCGAATTTTATTTTGCCATTTTGCTCCAAATGGCATATCCAAATTCATACCAACCCAATTTTTCTCCATTACACATCAATAATAAATCACTAACCATCTATTCAATCATAACAAGTCCTACGGGAATTCATACCGGACAATCAAAAAATGAGAGGATGGGGGCCGCGGGGGGAGTACCAAAGTAGTTAAAAATCCCCCTAAATGTCATATCCTCCGTTGAATTACACAATACTTTATAGACTCGTTTGGTTATCATATTAAAAATAGAAGGATTAGATAAAATAATACAGTCTAATATAATACAGATACATAAAAGACAAGACTAAATAAAATATTATAATATTATATAATTTTATCTAGTGTTTGACAATACACAATATAAATGATGAATAATAATTATTTAATCTAATCGATTGTTTGGTTATGACATTATTTTTATGGTGTTAATGTTGAATTAACAAAAAAATCCTTAATCAGTATTTGTAATATTTGTTACATGATGATAATTTAATAGTTTATCAGTCACGGAGTTATAATAATAAATATGTATAATAATACATTTGAGATAGATTATAATATTACATCTCTTAGTAGTATTAAAATACTTCTATAATACAGGTGTATAGTACTAAAGATATACGATTAGTATACATTTTTAAATTAATATGAAATCAAATTTATCTACCAAATAATGTATAAAGAATAATAGTACAATACAATATTTAACTCACTTATAATACACCTACCAAAGAAGTCCTATCTTGATTACTATTTGAACACAAACTAAAAAGACAGAGGCATAAAAATACATCATTTTATTGGAAAAAAAAAACAAAAGAAAAAAAGCCTAATTCCATCAAATAGCCAAAGTCGTGAACCAAAAAACACTGTAAATACAGAAAAAGTTAAACCTTTTCGTTAAAAGGGGCATCGTAACAATGACAAAATACAATGACGGAGAAGCTATACATTGTTTTATTCCCTAAGGACTCGTTCGATTACCGTATTAGAAATGGATGGATTAAATAGAGTAATTCAATCTAATATAATACGGAAAAACAAAAGACAAGATTAAATAATGTATAAAAATAATACGTAATTTTATCTAGTGTTTGACAATGTACAACATAAACATTGGATAGTAATTATTTAATCTAATTGGTTGTTTGATTTGAAAATTATTTCATCGTATTAATGTTAAACTAATAAAAATACCCTCAATCAGTGTTTGTTACATTGATAACAACTTGATTTTATCAGTTAGGGGGTTATAATAGTAAATGTGTAAAATAATACGTTTAAGTTGTATTGTAATACCACCTCTTTTGGTGATATTAAAATACCTCTATAATACAGGTCTATTGTATAAAAAATATACGATTAGTATTGTTTTTGAAATTAATGCGGTATCAAAGTTATTTATCAAACAAAATATTAGGCCCGATTAAATAAAAAATAGTACAATTCAATATTAATCACCTTGTAATACGTCGACAAACAAGTCCTAATAGTATTGACATAATCATTCACAATTAGTAACGTCAAATATGAACTCTAGAGTCTTGATCTTGCACCCTTGTTACCAGGAATCTGCAATGCATCATAATGACCAAAACCATGATACAAGACTTCGATAGGACTATCCTTGCCATATTCCTGCCCATACTCTGCAATGGATATCAGACCACCAGAATCCTTATCGTTCATGTAGACTGTGATTGGCATCCTGCAATCATGAGAATTAATGAAGTCTTGCCACTCTAATGTCTTCAATGTTCAAATTTTTTAAACTCCAAAGGCATATACCAAACCCCCCCCCCCCCCCCCCCCCCCCGAGAGAGATTGGTACTACAAAGAGGTCTGAGGAACTCAACACCAAGCACCTGTCTTAGTGACATTAATCACTTCTACTACAAAGAGGAGTCTGATATTATATCCAACAGGATAAGAAACAAGGAAGGAAATATTTTATCCCCCAACATGATACCAGACACGTTGTGACTGGTGACTTGATCCAGTCAAAAAGGAGGTTATCATTTAGAAGATAAATCAGTATAGAAATGAAAAAAAAGTACATGGGAATACCTATAAGCACAAAGACCACACACGCATGTGAGAGCACAGAGAGAGAGAGAGAGAGAGAGACTCACTGGAGAACATGAGAAGCCATTAACAATTCAGGCTCACCTCCCCACACATGAGGCTTCCTCATTTGTGAAACATAGGTGTCAAAGTCACCTTCTATGAACCTGAACATAATGTGAAACCATCACTTACTCGTCCATCACCACAAAGAATGATATGGGAGAAAAGAAGACCACCTTTCTCCCTTAATACGATAATGTACTATCTTCATTGCTTTAAGTTGTAAACATCAAACTAATGTAGCATGAGCAATATGTTGCTGATGCCTTCCCCAAAACACAAATACACTTGTTTCCTGATGACATCATCCAGAAGGCTCATATAAAATCATTATCGGTAATTTTCAGCCAAAGAAGTTAGAGAATAACAGGGGACTAACACCCATGATTGCTTATAAATCTTTCCAATTTTGTTTCACGCGTCTTTTTTAACATAAGGAGAACTCTCATTTTCCTACCTAAGACTGACATGATTCATGACAAACAAGTGAGAAAAATGTTTGCAAGATAGACTGGGAAAACTCACCATTCTGTCTCTCTCCGCTTTTTTACAAATTCATCTGCCACCTAAAAAAAATTAGCAGATGCAAAATCAGGTGACCTTGCCTATGTAGTGTTTGTACCAACAACTTATTTTGGACATACATGAAGGTGGATACCACTTTCTTGTTTGGTTAAGGTTACTTCAAAGTAGTAGGTCACATTTTGAAATCCATCACTTCTTCTATGCGAATGGTTTAGGGGAGGGGCGGGGCGGGGCGGGGCATTGATGTCTTTACTTTTGAGAAATGGGACATCCAGAAGTGGCAACACTAAAAAAAGGCAATCTAGCCATCCTTAGTAAAGAGAGTTCAGTGATGACATTGCCTTGCTAGCAAACTATGCTGCATAATCCATTCAACATAAAGGAACATAAATCACGAATTCATGATGTCTATATTGAAGGGACACTACATACTCTAGCTCGTAATTCGTCTGCTAGTTCCCTTTGAAGGGTCTCATTTGGAGCAGGCTTTCCAGATTGCAAACAAGCTCCATGAGTAACAGAGCGAAACAAACATCTTCCATCTCCAGATATGCCTACACATATGGAGCAGTTATCTTCATCAAAATACTTCGGGTGGAAATAAAGTCAATATTTACAACCATAAGTTTTGGCATCCCATCAAAAAGACAAATTAATACATCATCTCCGGAAAAGGTTAGCTGTTAGATTATATAATAATTAAAGAGCAGCCCAGTGCATGAGGCTCCTGCCACTGGGGTTCTGAGCAGGGTCAAATGTACACAACATTACAATGTGGAGAGTTTGTTTATGAAACTCGGACCCATGACACCTAGGTCACAATGACGCAAAAAGAGAAAAGAATAAACAGCAAAATACAAAGCTATAAGTATTCAGTACTTACCAATAACAGAATAGTCGGTATACACTTTCTTCCCATGTGAAAAGCTGGTAGATGAGGAATCACAATCACCTCCCTTGTTTTCATTTACCTCAGCTACTTCAGCATGTACTGGTTCAGGTTTTGAATTACAAACCAGTGAACTGAAAATTAAGCAAGCAAACGTACATCCTTTTGGCCAAGAAACATGTCTCACATTAAATTTGATTTTGGGAATCATTAGTCGTCTAGGCACCAAATGCCTCACTTTCATATTTTGGGACACCAGTGAAATACCAAGGCATCCCCTCTGGGTATGTTTGGAACTCGCAATGCTTTTAACTGTTAATGAATGCCAGTTGCTCCTCCGATATGATACGTTAGACCCAAAACAGCTTCCCTGTAATGCTTGAAAGGGCAAAACAATTGAACAAGAGCTTGTCTTGGGCATAGAACTGCTAGCATATCTCAATTTAGAATTTCTGAAGGAGATATGGAAACAACATGAGGATGGTGCCTGAGATATGAAACAGATATGGTTGCTCATCTGTCTTTGGACAAACCAACTTAGGCGGACTACATTTTGCACTTATATGCTGATGGAAGAACAAACCATTACGTTGGCATAGCCCCAGCAACAAACACGGCATACAGCACTCTATTTGAAGAATGATCTACCGAGGACTGTCCAGCACAGTATGAAATTTAAAATTATTATCTTTAACTATCCCAGTCTCATAATTAGAGATCTCTGTCTAAAACCAGATATCGAGATTAGCATTCACAAACTAACATGTTTTTCCAGAACAACAGATGTGTACACATCTACTACTCATTCAAACTTGGGCTATTATTAGTAGCTTCTCATTTGCGAGATAATGAAGCAACTACTGGGCAATTTTTTTGTTGTCAACATTCTAATTATTATTCTTACCTACAGGAATCCTGCACAAATGCTCCTTTAGGCAAAGTGACCTTTAACAATATCCCAATGACAAAACAAACAGAACATATAAATGCTCCTTTTCAGTTTAAAAAATCCTGATGGTTTTTTATACGAACTAATTCCATATAAAGTTTTATCCACTCACACCTGCACGTTTGCACTTTGCAGGCTTCTCCTTCTAGTCATAAATGACAATTGACCCCACCACAAGGATCCTTCATAAATACTTGTACATTTGAAATAATACTCGATGTTGCCTGGTACGCTACAGCTGACCATTCAAAAATCTCCTTAGCACCACACACCCGTCAATGGGCTGAAGGGCAGCCAATTTAAATATCACTCTTTTAAACTTCTTTTTCAGCTTTATATAAGAGGACCTTGCATGGATGCTCCTTTATAAAAATGGTTTCCCTATAATTAGCTAGGCAGCTGCTCATTATACATTTAAACATGTATGTTTCCAGTGGATATCACTTCAAGTGCAACAGAGAATCATTGCTTCTACCACAACTGCTCTAATCACAAGCCTCATACGCAGCCATATTCATAACAACTATCAAGCCTAGCTGGTAAACTTAACAGTCACCTGGGACTACTTTCTTCCACCCAGATTGGAGGAGTTTATGGGTAGGGAACATGCCACCATTAACCCTCCTTCACCCAGATTGGTTCAATGGGAATGGTGGCCATACACTATTGAGGCCACCAATCCCAAGGCAAAAAAATAATTGGTGTCGACCCGTCATTAAAAATTGCATGGCTATTTCATTTAAATCAGATTTAATTACAACATGTAATTACAGAAAACCATGTGAAGATGCTGCCACAAAATTCATTGCTTATTAATAGCTAAGTGTCCACCCATTATTCATTGACTTATGTCGTGAGGTAGGTGTGAGCAAAAATTTGTCCATGCATCCATGACAAACTGCAGAGTGACACCAAACTGAAGATTAGAGCAAGTTTTAGGTGTTGGCCCAGTGAGTTAGCTGCCTAGCTGGAGTAGCCATTCTAAAACTTGATGAATTTGTTAGTAAATAAACAAACATGATTGGAAGTCCTTAAATTTACTTTTTCCTTGCCATACCACTGAACACTTTTAAAACCATATCGATTAAATTCCATAGCAATAATGCTCATTATCCCAAGCTTAATATTATGCAATCTTTCTAATCTATTGACTTACCTATCTCATGAATAGGCATGCAAGAAACACGGTTAAGTATGCCATATGAACCTTTGAGCAAATGCATATTTTGAACTTTCCCAATTTCCAAAATAACCAGAATTTTCACCTCCTAGAAATTTCCAACTATTGAATTCTTAACTAAATGGAGAGTCCAGATTTTTGGGAAAATGAGAAAGAAACATGTGTTTTTTTTAGAAAAATAATAAAAAAAAGTGCACGATATATGAATCGCTATCTTAGGATCATATCCGGAATGATACCCATTCATCAAAGTGCTTGAGATCAAAGGCACCACATGAGAACGATAAAAAGGGAAAAAAAACATTTATGAGTTTCTTTTGGGAGGACATTAGCATATATCCAACCAATTTTCCCCACATTTTGCCTTGTGTTATGGAATTACTGTTTTGAGCAACACAAGGTTCTGCTGACCATATCACTATGGGGAAACACTGTGAAGTCTTACCTCTTACCTAAGGTAAACAACATCTGCGGAAGCTGTTCCCCATGGCTCAACGTGAATGCAAATCAAATTTGGGGGAAGAAAAGGATTAACAAAATGAGTCACGTGGATTTATCTTTATAATGTCAAGGAATTGAAAAAGCCTGTCATGAATTCCATATTAATTAGTAGAAGAAAGTCATGGACCATGTCTGGAATGTCCAAACCATGACATTGCAAAATACTTCTTAGCTCCAAACATTTCAGATAGATTGGAGAGCACATTACTTGGTTTAGATACTTAGATATTAGGTGGTCCGTTGGACCTGAAATCAGTATCTGATCATTATGATCAGAAAAAAGTAGCAAACCCGGAATCGCTTTTGACCATTTGGGCAGCTCAATGGCATTGATTAGTGCTGCAAATAGATTTCATGTTTATGGTTGAAAGTGATTGAGCCTATGAAAGATATAAACCAAGAACTATCGAAACACCTCATAGGCAAATCACCAAAATTTATTGGAACGATGACCTTATCCTTGTCCATGACTCAATTCAATCAAAATCAATGGCATTAGTTTTTAAATACCAGGTTGCAGTACAGCCGTACAGGAAATGGGATGGGAAAAACGCCATACTATCAACATTTTTTAAAAACACAAAAGCATATTATAATATCAATAACTATTACTTTGTCCTAGTCATGGTTCATTTCAATCACTAATAATGCAAAATTTCAAGAACCCATAAATGTCTATGCAGTTACCACAAGATAGCCAGAAGAATGCCAAATATATATATTTATATACACAGGCTTGAACAGATACACATAAATGTATAAGGTAAAAGAAATGAACCTGTTGAACCCACAAAAAAGGAATGAATACAGTAAGACAAACCCAAATAAAGAAAATCTGCATATATATATAAAACTTTACTGTAAAAAAGAACAAAGATAGAGAATCAAGGAAGAGACAGAAGGGTGTTGAAGCAAAGAATTACCTGTGAGTCTTTATGGTACAAGAAGAATAAAAGGGTTGTTGTGAAGCCTTTTAAACTTGCGTTTTGGTCAACGAACTAAGCAATCTTTTTCGTTATGTTTTTCTTCTTCTTTCATGGTCTCTGCCAAAATTATTCAAGCAGAAGAGAGGTTGAACACCTTTATTTGGAGACGATGCCGTTTCAGGTCCAAGGTCTCTCCATTGGGAGAAAATATTTAACGTGCGAATAATAAACTACGAGTAATGCCACGTGTATTTAAAAATAGACTTAAAAATTAGATTTGATAATCATTGATTTTATTGTGAGTCTCAGCATTTATTGAAATCCACTATCTATTCAATTGTTAAAATTATCAAATTTATTTTTTAAGTACATGTAGCATTACTCATAAACTAACTCGCAAATAAGTAAATGGTAAGGTAATAAATAAACAAGTGAATTTTATATAATTAAATAATTATGTATCCCTATCCAAAAAAAAAAAAATAACTATCTATCTATGGCTCTATCTTTAGGCAAGTGTGGCGGTCGCTTAAGACTCATTTGCGTCTATCTCACAAAATTATATGACTAAATTTTAGAAAGAATATAAAAAATTTTGTATATTACGTGAAACTCAGGATCAATAAAATTACTAATATTTTTATTTAAATCATAAATATATGTATATTCAAAAATAAGGAAAAAAAAAAGAGATTGTACCATACTCTTATATAAAAAATTACAATAATTATTCTTAATAACCCTGATCTATTTATTCAATTTTATTTACTTGAATTATAATTTTTGACTTAATTTTAATTTTAATATAATCATTTACACAATTTGTTTATTCTACATCTTAAAGAACTTATTACATATTTAAATTTTTAAAACAAAAATAAATAAATTATGCATCTAAAAAAAATTTAGGGCCTCATCTAAAATTTTCGTCTAGGACTTCAAGTGTTCTTGGGCTCGCCCCGAACATTTTCACCATGTCAACTTGATGATATGGTATAACCGTTACACCAAACATTTTTTTCAAAATAATCACCCAATGTAAGAGAAGTGGGGTTCGCATTGCTCACTAGTAAGTTTCTTATTGAATTATGACATCACGTGATAATAGTGACGTGATATCTTTGTTATATCGAATATTCTATATTTGATTTTCGTATTTTTCCATTAAAGGATATTAAAAGAGATAATCAAATAGATTGTGTGTTTATTTGTAGAATCATTTTAAATAAAATGTGAGACTTCATAGCGATGTTATTAAATATTTTGAAGCAACTTTATTTAAGCAAAAATATATTTTTCCTCATAATTATTTTACCAAAGTGATTTGCATGTATTTTTGTATATCAATAATCTATCAAATAATACAACTACTAAATTGAATTTTTAACTTAACGGTTAAAATTGATCCAAATTTCATATTTTTAATCAAATGGTACAAAAATCATCCCAACAGATTTTTTTCCATCTAAAAATATCAATTTCTCTACTCAACTTTCAATGATAGACATAATCAACACACCAAAACACTCTTCAATGTCAAACAATCTCATCAATTCACACATATCTTTTTTTATTTAAATTTAAATTAAGTAATTAAAAAACTAAATTATTATTTAATATAAATATTGTAAGCTCAATGTTCGATTTTTAATATTGTATAGTTTATATAATATTTCTCAAATTTTTTAAAACTTTCCCATTCTAGGTGACGTGGGCCATTTAATAATACATAATTACTTATATATATAATTGAAATTTTTTTGAAAGAAATTGAGATTCCAAATAAAAAACCTAATTTACAAAGACCGGAGAGTAGTTGCAGTTATGATAAGGGCTAACCTAAATTGGGCCATTACTTTATCGCTATGGATCCATAACTGGGCCAAGTTTGGTAGGTATCAGCCCATAGTTCAAAGAGCCGTATATTACATACACACCAGATTGAAGAGTCGTTTTCTATTTTCGGTGTTTACTATAAAACACAGATAAAAATTGTCTCTGTTTTTGAATTTTTTGAAGACGCGAAAATAAAAACGTTACCAAACGACCCCTTGTTATCAAGCGTATAAGCATTGTCCCTAGTGGAGTTTAAGACTTGAGCTGGTATTCTACATGATCATTATCTGCATGTTGTTGGAGGGAAGTCTTCTGGATTGGTGTAGAGCCCGAAGATGTCTCAATAGGTTGTTATATGAAGTCCAAAATTTAAACTTAAAAACGGGTTTATTGACTCTGTTTTTTTTTTTTCAAAAAATGTCATAATTTGATAAATAAGTTTAAAAATATTGTATTTTGATAATTTTGTTTCAAAATTACCGTAAAATGATATATACATAATTCAACATGGTAGTTTTGAAATGAAGATAAAATAGAGCCCTTAAATAGAGAGTCATAAAATATTAATCGTTATTTCTGACAGAAATCGACTCTACGACCTCCTGGTAAATAGTGAATTTGGAGTGATGAATTAGGTTGGACCCAATTACAAGCTTGTATTTTGTGAGAAAGAAACTTAACATGGGAAAATAGAAAACAAGGTTTTCATCCCTGTCAAGATTTTTGAAAATTTTAGATATTTCAGTTAGAGCATTTCTAACAACAAAAATTAGTTTAATTACTCAAAAAATAATATTTTATATTTTAGTTACTGATTTTTTCAATACATACTATAACAGATTTTTTATATTTTTAACTACTGCATTAAATATTATTTCTCATTGTTTTTGTTTTTTTTTTGGTGGAGTAGTTAGAAAGAGAGAGAAATAGAATATAAAAGGAGGAGAAATAAAATATTATATCGTGGTTATACATGTTGCTATAGTCTCTTCCTTTCCTTCATTTCCTCTTTTAGATGTTGTGTTAAAATAAAATTTTAAGATAAAATAGCTAAATTTTAAAAGTTTTGTTTACTTTAACTTTTCTCTATGCTCTTAAAGGAATACACGGTGGATTGATCCTTTTACTGGATTCTTAATATTGTATTTATTTTACAGTATTGTTATTCAAATTTAAATATTTCAAAATTTCTACAATAAGTTTATGTTTTTAAAATGCTTTTTTTTTTTTGAAAAATAAAGGTCTTATATTTTTAGTGGTTTCTTTGAATTTTCTCAAATATCCTTTAAATTATCAACATATTACAAAAAAAATTTATTATTTTTTAAAATATTAACAGATGAATATGACTTGCCTAAAAAAGAAGGAAAACTTGTACATTTTTTCTTGTGGGCTTCTTTAGCCTGCTTCACAGTGGGTTGTCTTCCCTTGTACACAACAAAAAATGCTAATAATTAATACTGAGACCTACTTGACATCAAACTCAATGGGCCCAATTGTCTGTTCCCCCTTGGCGTCCGTACGTTACATCAACACAGGCTATTGGGCCCATCTACAAGAGCCACTTTCTTGGTGGGGCCATGGATTGGACATTTTTGAACCCTTTGATGAATTTGGTCCGTGACCCCGTCTGCAACATGTCGGGTCTCTATCGGGTCATGGACTGGACTGGACTGGAGTTGTCTCTCTGTTTGCAAATTGGGCCCACCGAATACAATAATGAAAAATCTGCTGGGGCTATTTCAGTGGAAATCATCTCGGATGGGTCATTCTCCATTGGCCCCACCAGTTGGGTAATGCCTGACGCCCGATGTTCCTGACCTATGTTGTATGTGTGTATAGTAGGGGTGTCAATCGTGTCGGATTAAACGATTACGTATTGGGTGAAAAACGTATAAACTCATACACGATACACATTTAATAAATAAGTAAAAAATTTCAACACGAAAACGGATAACACGACACGATTCGTTTAACCCGTTTAATTTAAAAAAAATTATATCAACAAATTTTAATACTTCATTTTTTTAACTACTAATTACACTTACCTCACAAAAGAGGAATTTTAAATCAAAACTCATAAAACAAAAATTTGAAGGCTTTAAAAAAAAAACAAGAGGCTATTGCACTTACACACGCTCCCCATCTCCCCTCATTTTTCAATGTGAGACAAAAACAAAAGATATAGGTTTGTCTATCTTTTCAAGTGCTCGACTACTCCTCTCCTTTGCCTTTAAAAAATAAAACTTGAAAGCTTTAAAAATAAAAGTAAGAGGCCATTGTCTTTTATAGACAACTCAACCCTCCCCATCTCCTCTCATTTTTCAATGTGGGACAAAAACAAAAGACATTTGTTTGTCTTTGCCTTTGAAGTACTCTCCAACTCTTTTCCTTTGTCTTTGAATTACTACTTTACTTTTTTTTTTATTGATTTCTTTACTTCTTTTTTCTTGCTAATTTTTTAAAATAATTATTAATTTATTATTATATTAATTTTATTTAAACGGGTAAACGTGTGATAAACGGTTTGACAGGTCTCACCCGAACATGACCCGTTTATTAAACGTGTTTGGCGTGTCAACCCGTTTATCACTCAAACCCGTTAAAATCTCACTCAAACTCGTTTAATTAGTAATAGCCCTTATATAGGTTTGTGGATGAATCAAGTTTGAATTAGATTCTCAATTTAATTCGATAATTCAATAA